TGGCCTTTCCAGAATCGCTTTCATCCACCAACTTCCCTTGGTGCTTTGGTGATGAGCCTGCCCACAGCCCCGAGGTGTGATCTACTGGGTGGTCCGTGTGCAGAAGCTGTCAGCAGAGAGAGGCCAAGGCAAAGCAATTCCGTGATGGCGACCGCAGCACGGGCAGTGACAAAGCAGCCCTGTCACCAGAAGCAGATCTCTTCATAGAGCAAAGTGCTGCCCACGTAGTGCTCATTCAATGGAGCTCCACGCTTACCTTGATGCCCTGGAGCAGACTGCGGCTTCCCATTCTGTCTGTACATATTACTCAACAAATGCATCACTCTCAGCTCAGGTGGCTCTCAGCTTGCCGCTTCCATTCATCCTCACTGCCAGCATACGTCACCGGCAGACTCAGAAGTATCTATTTAGAGTGACTGTCTCAGATCCCCTGCTCTCGAGCTGGATAGAATACATCTGTGCAGCAGTGAAGACTACCAACTCTAAAGGTCCTCTGCGCATATTTAGAAGGGCCTTACTGTCTGCTAGAACGCTTCCCTTCTCCCCACATGCAGTCTGCCGCACACCAGCCCGGAGTTCTTCCTGAGTGAGTCTGGATCGTGTCACATACTGCAGTTGGAAAAGTCATCACCATGTGACCGCCACACCTGGTGGCCATCTGTGCTGGTGACAGCCGAGTCATGCCGGCACTCCTCACTTCATTTCTGCCACTCCTCTTGCTGTTCCCCACAGGACTGGTGCTGCTCCGAGAACGGATGCGCTTTCAGGCTCCCCTGTGGCTCCGTCCCTTGCTCTGTGCACCGGCTGCAACCTGAGAGTGTCCCTCAGCTCTGCCTGAGCTGTCTCTGCCATCGGCAGTGGCCGTCCTCCCACGGGATCCACAGAAGCCGAGAGAACGTCCATCTGTGAAATGGTGCACACTCCGTCTACCTGCTCACGTTCTTTACTCCATCTACCAACGTTCCTCACAGTCTCTCACTGGCTTCCCTCAGCCAGACTCCGTCTTCTTGGAGAAACCATAGTTGGTTGAATAAAGGCAGAAAAAATGGATGAAGTACTTAAAAAATTCTGAGTTCCCTTAAAAATATTTCTATTTGAGAAATACCACCATTGCTTTACTACGACTGCATCTGCAGCCCTCTCATTCATCGCGTTTGCTGGTACCATACTGTGTGTATGGATTTCAGTGGCAAAAATCTACCAAGACTAAGGAGAAGAAAAGGTTATTTAAAGTCTCCTCCAAAGTAGTTATTCAGTACTAATAATTTAACAACCTAGACATAGCTTAAAATAGGATTTTTCAAAGTATAGTATTGTTTAACACATTTATCCAAGAATATCTCTTTTAAAGTGAATGCACATATCCTTAAGAATATAAAATTTTATATCATTCTTTATGGGTTTAAATAACTTATTCTGCAGAATCATCAGGTTTGTTTGACTGACAGACTGACTGACTGACTGAGGCAGTCTTGCTGTGTAGCCCAGGCTGGCTTTGGCCTCAGGCCGTCCTACTGCCTTGGCCTCCTGAGTGCTGGTCTTACAGGTGTGCACCCTCACACAAGACTTCTCCAGAACTTTCATGGAAGAGTCTAGACTTTTCATATTACACAAAGAATATTTCTAGAAGTACTTAACAGCGAGGACTGCAGCAAGTCTTGAAGGAAGAGTGGGAAGGGTCCCAGGCTCTGTGTGAGACCTATGGAGCAGGCGGCCGTGGAGCCCCGCAGCGCACCCTTCGCATGGTGCATGGGCTGGCGACTGCTGCCCAGATTTTTAAAAACCAGTATTTTTCCAGCTGTCACTAAATTATGAGAGGAAGGAAGCATGAATAAATTATAACTGAAACCATGTAATGAGGTAGAAAAATTCAAAAGAACAGTATAAAGTTCCAATTAACTGGGTTCCCTTGAGGCAATAAAGGTTAGTCAGGACCTCCCAAAGTCCTACTGTACAGTGAGGTCACGAAGTAGGTCTTACAGAGGGACTTCTGATCCATCTGAACGTTTATGTGTAAATTAACCTTAAAATGAAGAAGTACACAGAAAAGGAAATAAAGTAAAAACACACGTCTACAGAAAACATGTAATGAAAATCACTATGTCCTCAAAGACAACCAGAGGACATTTGCAAAATTGTGAACGTATTTCCAGTATTTTCAGCCTATTACCCTAATGGTAACTCATAGTACAGTTCCACAGCTCAGAAAAACACATCTATTAGGGAAAATCTCTCCACTGACCGAGAAGAGATCCATTTTTCCCAAGAAGTGAGTGCGTAAGTAATCATGCTTTGCACAGGCTAGCCGTGTTTCAATAAAGGTTTAACCACATGAAGTCACTGCAATAGCAGTGGGAGCCACGCGGGACACAGAGAGTCTCCATTCGACTCCAAGGGATGGTCAGTTACATCCCAGGAACTGTGTGAAGACGGCGGGAGAGGACGCCGCCACTGCGCCACGAGCGGGCTGCGCTCGCGTGACTTCACGGCTGAGCCAGCGCACTGGACCGCTCTGCAGCCGTGCAGCCTTCTCGAGTGTGCTGTGTCTTTCCACTTGAATTCTGCACGAGGATTAGTAGATTTTGTTCAAAAGTTTCAGAATCATCTTAGTCTTCAAAAACACTATTTGGGAGCCTTGCTTTCCTCTGTCACGCTTCTGGTTGGTGGCTCAATTAATTGATTTTTTTGGTCCATATTAAGACTTACAATAACCTGAATACTGGTAATCTCTCCCAGCTTTAAAATGACAGATGCTTTCAATAAGCATATTAAAGTTATAATGAAAGAGCTTCTTGAAAAGAAATTTATAGCAACTCCAAAAACTTGACAGATTCGTAAGAATTATTTTATGTCATTACAATATTGTTGAAATAATCACAACAAAATATACAGAAACATAATAAAAATATTCGGCAATTGACAAACAGTAAAAATTATAATTCATATTTTTAAAAATTCCCAGGCCGGGGCGGCAGCCCAGCAGCATAGCACTTGCCCGGCAAGCTCAAGGCCCTGGGATTGATTCCTGGTGCTAAAAACCCAGAGTCTTTAAACTAAGGCAATCCATTTCGTGCTTTACCATATTTAGCAATGCTAGACTAAGAGAAGCCCAGAAGGCACACCCCGAAACGCCTCTTACTCGGGTGGGGGCGCGGTGTTCCCTCGGACCCCCCTCCACGTGGACCGCGAGGCATTGTGGGCTGACGTCATGCCGCCGCGTCTCCGCAGCGATCGGCGGGCGGCGGCGTCCCTCTCACCCGCTGGTGTCAGAGCATCGAGGGCGGCTGGGGAGCTGGCGGGTCAGCGCAGCGCTGGTGTTAGGGTCCGTTTCGCTTGCGTTTTAGCAGTGTGCGCCTTGTGCTTCCTGCCCGCACTCCGCTGCGCCTCCAGCCTGTCTCGCAAGTCTTGAGTTGCGCGGGCTGGGCTTGAACCTGTGGCCTCCTTCCCAGCCTCCCAAGTGCTGGGGCGGCGGAGGTGCCTTTCGGGGTGCGCAGCTCGTTCTTAGGGTCCTCTGCAGACAGATGGACAGTGCACAGTTTCTCGTCCTGGCGCTGGGTCTTCTTCCAGTTTGCGTGACTTCACAGCTGAGTGGGGCGGAAACGTCTGTGGCTTTTCCCGGGGCTTATGCAAGCGAGGAAGGAGACGTCAGGCCATCGAGCTCTGCCGAGGGATTAAGTCCTGCTGGGATTTCTGTGCTCACTGTTGTACCTGAGAACCATGAGTGACGACTTCAGCCTCGAGCTGTTACCCTGGAGCAGGGAATGGCCTTGGACAGTTTGGGGGCTCTTAGGGTGGGCCAATTTTAGAAATAGCAACACCGTTTTTTAAAAAGATGTGAATGCAATTATAAAACTACAGAACTTTTTAAAGAACTGAACCAATCTTAATGAACACGTGAAGCGGCTCAGAACTAAAGGAGCAGGGCGGCCCGCGCAGTCACGTGGAGCCTGCCGGAAGCAGGCGCGGCTGTCCTGCGGAGCCTCCCCGCCCCGCACCGTCGGGCCTTCCCTCCCGGGTGGCTGCTGCAGACGCGGAGCAGAGCTGTCTCGCGAGCCTGCCGCTGCAGCCGGCGCCTTGCTCCTGCCGCGTCGCTGCGCGTCCTGTACCCCCTCAGAGCAGCCTTCTCCTGACCCGCCTGTTGGAGGACATGCGGGCAGCCCACGCAGACCCCCTGGGCAGGCTTGTGCTGCGAGGGCGGGACGTGGGACGCCGGGTTAGGCTCGGAGCGCAGAGGCAGCGCCCGTGATGGGGCTCGTGAAGCCCAGGCAGCCTCGTGACGCGGCGCCCAGCGCGGTTTCTCCCTCACAGCTGCTCTTCATTTATAAGAATAAATCAGTATTACGTGTCAGGAAGAACATGAGATTTGGGTACCTTGCTCACTTTTGTACAATCCGATATGAGTGTATTAGTCCAATAAATAGAATACGTGAATACTTATCTTACTGGATTTAGTTAGCAGAGAAAAAGTTACAGGTTCTGCATGAAACAGTGCTGTGCTGAAAATCAGTCAGTACTGGGAACACAAGATTCCATTTCCACACACTTAAGTTTGCACAGAAATTGGGCATATTGCTACTTTATAAAATAGTAGGTACGTATGAATGTTTAAAATCCCTCCTCCATAATATTTATATACATTTCCATTATAATTTTTACTAATTGTCTTGGAAACTTCTAGCTTACCTAATCCATAATAAAGCTTGAGAGGGCTGGATGCAGGGAAAGGCAGTCCCTTGAAGTTCCTTAAAACCTTGAGCTCTGGCTACGTTTGGGTCTCTCTCTTCGAGTCTGATGTCAAGCTGTTTAGGTACAGATAAGTTTGTTCCGTGCTCATGAAAAGGCAGGGCACGTGAGGAAGCAAACTGTACAAGTGCACGTCTGCACAGCAAGGAAAACATTTTCACTGAAGTAAAAGGCAAACGAGAAAGACAGGAATGACAGCCATGCGTTCTCACGATGCAAATCATACCTTCTAACTATACTATGCTTTTGATTTGTAGGTGGGGCACACTGAGAGGAGCAAAAGGCAAAAAAGAAAAATTTTGGGTATGTAATTCCTTCCAACTGCACCCCCTATCTATCTTGTTGGCCGAAAGTCTTATTGTTTTAGACACACACACACACACACACACACACACACACACACACACATATATATATAATTATTTAACTAACATTGTTGGGTGAGATGCAGTAATTGAATAATTGTCTGGGAAAATCTGGTGAAGTGCCTGGTCAGTCCAAAACCAGAAGCAAGTCACATAGGCACGCTGCCTTCATAGCTGCAAAGCGATGTTTTGTCCGGTGGGTTTTCAGGCCCAAAGACCCATACTCAGGGGAACATTTGTTTAAAACTATTATTTTAATATCATAAATTTAACTTTAATCAACTTAAAGGAGCAATGTTAAATCCTTTTATGTATTAATAATTCATGAAAACATTTAATAAGCAAAATATCTTTTTATGAGTCTTAAGCTTTATATTGAATAACTGAAGACATAGATGTTTTATGAGAATGCAGACACCTTAATCTGAGCTACATCTACTCATGCGTCCATCCTAACTGTGTCTTTAGATGGTCCATGAGCACCAAAGCGTGTACATGTGGTAGATACGATGCATCTTACACGTGTGTGTGTGACACATCTGCCGTTCTATCTAGACTTGTAGAATGATTATATATATATATATATATATATATGTAAAATCTCAGAAATTACCACATACACATGAACACACACAGAAGCAGCAATGGACACTGTGCATATGAAACCATTCTTTATAAATATTATCTTGATTGTCTTGACTAGCTCACATGCTACCTAGATGAAAACATACCAACTCTAAAGGCATCTGTACTCTTAACAGCTCCCTGGTCAGCCATGTGAGCGAAAGCTCTTGGGACTGATACGAGCATCTGTTCTTCGAGCTGACTTGAACACTGGGGAGGTATTTGTACCCGAGATGAGCCCACAGAAGCACACCTATTACGCCAAGTCACACACAGCATTTATGCCTCCACGCTTTACAACTTTCACTGCTAGTCTCATGGTGCACTCCAAGCCTGCTCACCTCCTCTTCTTATGTTTAGGGGTTAGCTGTTCCCTAAAACCTCTATAATTGATTCTTGTTTGTGCAAACACTTAAAAGAGCCAGGGTGAATAAGGGTAAAAAGAAAAAGATAATTGATATATCTTTCAAATAAATTCTTTCAAAACTGATGGAGAAATTATGTATTTCCATGACAAGCAGCACCTCAAAGAACTTATAACCACCAAACCTGCTTCACAAAGTATTCTCAAGCATATCACTGAATGAGACAATGAAATCAACAAAGGCAATAAGTGAGAAAGAATGCGCACAATGAGCAGTTGAGCAAAAGGGCAAAAACTAAATCAGCAGCAGCAAAACAATGCAATGACAGGAATAAGCCAGTGCCTTGCAGTAATGACTCCCAGTGGGGCATTCTCAGTTCCCCAGTCAGAAGACTCACGGTGGAGGAATGGATCAAGAAAGAAACCTAACCATGGGTATTGTATAGGCAGCATAAGAAAAAGAAATTCCCATATTAAAAATCAGAGAATAGAATGTAACATTCCATCCAATAAGAACCCCCCAAAAAAGAACTAGTAGCAATGCTAATTTGAGGCATAATGCTTTCAAAACTGACCTGAAGAGACAAAGAATATCACTATGTATCAGTTAAAAAAACCAATTATATACTAAGAAAATAATTATTATTATTATTATCATTTTTTTTGGTGGAACCGGGGATTGAACTCAGGACTTTGCACTTGCCAGGGAAGTGCTTATTCCACTAAGCCATCTCCCCGGCCCCAATAATTATTAATATATATGTGCACCAACCATTGGACTTCTCAGCTCCATACAGCAAACATTAATAGGCATGAAAAAAATCACACAGACACCAATACAGTTATCATGGGGTCCCTCAATACCTCAGTGTCACAAATAGACAGATTAACTAGACAAAAACAAAAATCAACACAGAAACTTCAGTGAACCAAATATTTCAACAAATGACTTAATAGATATTTACAGAGAGTTCCATCCAACAATAAAAAAGAATACACATTGTTCTCATCACACAGGACTTATTCCAAAATATAGGGAATAGGTAATACTAGCCCAGGGCCAGCCAAATAGCTCAGCAGATAAAAGGACATGCTTAGGCATATGCAGCAGCCAAGGTTCAATCTCCAGCATACCATGCCGGCCCTGCCCCCAGGGCTCACTGAGGCAGTTATTGAGACTAAGCATGGTGCTATGTGCCTGTAATCCCAGTTCTTTGGGAGGCTGAACACAGGAGAATCACTACAAGTCCCATCTCCATAGTGAGACCCTGGAAACCCTTACTAAAAACATACCAATGAAAGAAAGAAAGAAAGAAAAGAAAGAAAGAAAGAAAGAAAGAAAGAAAGAAAGAAAGAAAGAAAGAAAAGGTAACACTAGCCCACAAATATTCTGAAGTAAATACAAAGTGTTGAAATTATCCCATGTATGATAATAGTGTAATGCAATGCAAAGTCAATGTAAAAAGAAGTCACAGAAATTAGGCAAATACATGGAAATTAAATAATACCACCTTGACTAATCAGTGGGTTGTGGAAGAATTAAAAAAAGAAATAAGGCAGTTTCTACAATCAAACAAACATCTAGTAGAACATGCCTGAATGTTTGGGACACAATGAAAGCAGTCCTAAGAGGGAAGTTATAGTGGTGAATGCCCATACTGAGAAACACAGCAAGCACAAATAACCCAACCATGCATCTCAAGTTTCTAGCAGAATAAGAAGAACCCAAAGCTAAACCTAGCCCAAGGAAGAAAATTGTAAGTATTGGAAGATAAATGAAGGAAGTTGAGAATAGACAAAACCAAAGAATTGATGATGTGAAGAGTTTGTCCTTCAAAAGAGTGAACAAAATAAGCAAACCCTTAGTCAATCTTACCAAACTAAGAAGAGAAAAGCTCTGGATCTATGGAGCTAGAAATGGAAAAGTTAGAATCATAATGTATTTTGTCAAAATCCAGGTCATTGGGAACTACTCTGAGAGCTTGTAGTCTAATGATATGGAAAATTCAGAAGAAATGGATAAGGCCCTACCTAGATATGAGCTACTGAAGCCAGATTATTAGTATATAAAAATCCCAAATAATCCAAAATCAGTCAATGAAATTGAGAAAGTAATTTTTAAAAATACCACTAACAAAAGCCCAGGTACTGACAGATTCGCTGTCAAATTCTATGAAGGATGTAGAGCAGAACTCACCCCAACAGTCCTTAAACACTTTAATATAATTGAAAGGGAGGCAGCCTTCCCAAAGGCATTACTAGAAGCAAGGTTTGGCCTGATTCCTAAACCAGAAAAAGACCCAACCAAAAAGAGAACTACAGGCCAATCTCTTTAATGAACATAGACACAGAAATTCTCAATAAGATACTGAAAATAAAATGCAGCAAATCATCAAAAATGTCCTTATAAATCACAGAAGAGACTCAAAGTCGTCATGAGCAAGTATAATTCCTCTTAAGGGCATAGAGATAGTTGAACATGTGTAAATCAATAAATGTAATACACCACATACGCAGGAGCAAGAAGAAAAATCCCTTATCATCACAAAAGGCACAGAAAAAGCATTTGACAAAGTCCAGCATACGTTTATGGTAAACACTGAAAAATATAGGTACAGGTCTTTATTTCAGTCTGATGAAACCAACCTATAACTGACAAATGGCCCGTATGGGCATTGATACACTGAGTCAACTTGCAAGGCTTAGAAGGTTGACTAAGCGACTCAGCAGGGGGCCAGGGTCCTGAGCCTGTGCAAGAGGAGCAGAGATGCTGCGATGCCCACTCTGGGGAGTGAATGTTTACAGTGTAAGGGAGGAAAAGAGACGTGCTTCCCCCTCTACCCCCTTTTTTGCTCTTGTTGCTTTTGCTCTCTTTTGTACCTTGAAGTGTTTCCCCTGTGCTAACCCACCCTGCCTTGGAGCCAGCTGATTATGAACTGAAACCTCTACACACTGTGGGCCAAGTAAACCTTCCCTCCCTTCATTGTGGGCGTTAGGTACTTTGTCTCAGCAATAGGAGAAAGATAACCAACACGATGGCCAACATCATGTCAAATGCAGACAAGCCGAATTCACATGCAAGAAATGGATGTCCACCACCAGTCAGTGTGGCTCTTAAAGTGTTAGCCAGAGCAGTAAGGCAAGCAAAATAAGTACAATGGCTATGACTAGGGAATAACTACTTTAACTTGTCATTGTTTGCATATGAAATGATCCTTTACATTGAAAACCCAAAAGCTCCGATAGTGTCTTGAATTCACAATCACATTCAGTGGTATAGCGGGATATAAAGCCCAAACTCAAAGGTTACAAGTTCTTCTATACATAAATAATATGGTACACAAGAGAATAAAGAAATAATACTCTTCATTTTTCAATAACATTGATGAAAATGAAATAATACGGAATTAAGTTAACCAAAGAAGCAAAAGTACTCTATGGTGGGGACTACACTGCTCTGACAAGTGGAAAAATTTTCTCTATTGCAGTAACCTCTTGTTCTGAAATTCTGTATCATTTTCTTGTTGCTTTTCTTATTCTTTAAAATAAAAACCAAGGGGGCCTGCCCCTTAGCTCAGTCCTTTAAGTGACTGCTTCAACAAAGCTATCAGACTCAGCCCCACAACTCAAGCCAGCCAAACCTGCCCTGAAGGCATTCGGAGCAAGTAAATAAATACATAAATAAAACCCGAAAGATTCCTCAGAGATGAGACTTAGTGCAATCATAAGACCCCAAGGGCTGCTTCTTCAGCATAAGAGAACCTCAGGGAAACAGCCCGAGCCGAGACCTCTGCCAACCTGCTCCCAGCCTCTGCATCCAAGCTACCGTGCAACAGGACCTGCAGATCTTGTTGGTGATTGAGAACAGTCCAGGAAGCTGCAGTCTGGAACTCTGTGCCCAGAACTTTACGTGCTGCACTGCGTGAAACATTCTTTCCTCTGTGATGACA